TACTATTTTCTCCCTCGTTCGAACACGGATCCTAGTGTTCATAAACAAAAGAGTGAACAATTAAATGCGCATTATAATAATACGATGTTAATTCTATATAATTTTTCTTTTAACAATTCAATTGTCACTGTCGAAACCAATATAAAAAAGAAAATTAAATCATCCGATCAGCAGGGAATCGAATGTTATATCGCCAACTGGCGCGTATACAAAAAAATATTTCGATAGGGGGGTTCAGATTGAATGTTTTCATGCTTATATAATCTATAAGCCACTTTTACTCAATAAAAACATAATTAATAATTTTTTTGAATTTCGATAGAGGAGGTTGAACCTCTAAACCCCTTTCTTGCGTACACATCTGATCACCAATGATATAACTGAAATAAATAAAATGATGAGAATATTATTATAATATAATATAATAATAATAATAAATAATAATATTCTATACACCTAAATATTAAAAACAGCTAAGAACTGAACTTCTTCGCAATAACGTCCATCACAACGCACCACTCTGGCCAACCTACTTAGAGCGTAAAACCTCGAGGTATACAAATAAGTGCACTATGTAGCATTCAAAGAAGGAGCAACTCAAAACCAAAGGGCTTATATCACGTAGTGATAAGACTGAAGAAAGGAAGAAAGAAAGGAGGCCTCATCTTAGACACCACAATTCAATGAGAGACCAACGATGAACAGCAAGACGTCAACGTGCACGAAGAGAAAAGAGATATATACATGCCATAGACACCCAGTCTTAACCGCCTCTGTTAAGTTTAAGAGTGGGAAGTATTCAGGTTATAGTTCGGCACACGCGGAACCGTATCAAAACTTTTGCTGAACTTCTTCAAAAACTACGGTCTACAACGAAGCGATCTCACAAAAATATGTCTGTCTGTATTGCAGAATACATTACATATAATCCACTATCATCTATACTCGTTATTAACAATTACTATTATTGTAATAAAATCATTTGATTTTACTATCTGTCAATTTATTAGTTTATTATATTTATTTTATGTGTATCCATCTATACTTTATTATATTTTATTAACTGTGTAGGAATGTATTGAACGGTAAACTGTTCACTCACAAAGTGAACAGTCCGCTATATTTTATATATTTTATTAATAATGTTGTCTATTTATATTTAAAAATTTGAAAACTCACCTTACTATTAACTTACTTATAACTAAAAACTGGATATAATTTCGTTAAAAGAATCTTAAAACTACACTAAAAAGATGTCAAAATTGCAATGAAAATTTATCAAAATTTCAGTATAAATATGTTGAAATTTTAATGAAAAATACATTAAAATTGCATAGTAAAACTAAATCAAATATATAATCATAAATTACTTACTTAAATAATATACATTTATATAATATTTCAAAATATATAATTTTTCTCAAATTTATAACTATATACATCTCTAAATTGTGTTCTTGAAAATTGTCTTTTACTTAAAATATATTTATAGAATGAAAAAGTACGTTTAACGTCTACACTTGTTACCGATGTATATTTAAAATAATTTATAAAATTTGGTGTTATATTTAAATTAATATTTTAATTTCCGATCATAACTTCAGAATAAGTTTTAATAGTTTTATATCCTTAATTTTTTTTAAGACATATTTTAATTTATTTTAACTATACCATTGGGACCGGGAATATTTGTCAAAATATTTTCAACTTCACTAAATATGTTTTAACTATTAAGTAATTGACTAGTTGATTTTAACTAGTGAGTTTTATGAATAACTCAGATAAATATAATTTTAAAAATGCTAAATTACATTAAATTACATGCAAAAATGTACATCGTAGTTATATTTTTATTGTAAAATTACTTTAGAAATAACAATTTAAACATTTTATGACGTGAAATATACAAAAAATACAATGATTGCAATAATTTCATAATCGCTGAAAATTGCAAAAAATTGTGTTATTAAATTAAATAGGAAGGCTGTAATCAATCCGATTCCTATACATATTTGATCAGATTTGATTTACCTGGTATCAATAAAAAATTGGAATATCTATTAAATCCGATCTTTAATTATAATCATATACTTCCGCACGGGAGGTGTCGGATAATCCTAGGCACCCCCAAAATGGGGCCCTTCAATTTAAGTCTAAGAGTAAGCATAGGCGCAACTAGAGTTCAATTTCTGGGTGGGCTGAATTTTAATGATACCAGCGACCCGTAGGGGCTTCGTCCCCACACCCCCAATATTGATTATCAACATTAATATTTATATTTATATAAATTAGAAATCCTTACGACCTTACCCATAGTCGTTAATAGTTTATTTCGAAGTAAAATGTTGTCACTTACCTAGTCACTTATTACTTACAGACTAGCTACCTAAATAAACACGAATAATAAGGATATACATATATAATCAATGAAATATACAGATCATAGCTATTAAATTTTTATTATAAAGCCTAATTAAATTAACAATATTTTTTTATTTTTTTCAACGAATTTATTTACAATTTCATTTTCGTCTAATTTGTTGGTTACATCTCTCTTTATATTTAAAATAGATAAATTTGTAAATCGATCATGGGCCATGGAAGATCTAAGCCAATGTTTTATTCGTCTCATTGAAGAGAACGACCTTTCACAGGTGTCTGAACTTATAAGAATAGATAAAGCCACTTGTATAAGTTTAGAAAAGTTTGGAAATATTTGTTTTTCGACTTCTTTAACATCATTTATATTGAAATCTTTTTTTTACTATTTAAAGGTTAAATGCCATTCTAATTTTTGCTTCTAAGCTACTCTTTGAAGTATGAAGTAATTTCTATAATTATAATTATTATAATTAATTAATTAGTTATCATTAATCTTTTATACAATTAAAATGTATTTATATACATGGTATTACCAAATTACCTTATAATGATCAATAAACTTCATTGAATCGGTTGTAATTTACAAAATGAACTACAACCGAACTGGCCATTGCCAAGCTTTAATCAGAAAACTTATATTTAAGATTGAAAATAACACTGTCCATAGTAAAAAAATATGTAAAAGTTTTCCAATAATTTTCTACATAATTTGCTAATGACGAATGTGAATCATTTTCTGCCGCCGTGGTAGCTGTTAATACATAGCCATGAAAGCTAGTTGACTCTCTTCTGCGATACTTTGATCCTATATTTTGTACGTATTATTTAGGTAAAAAAATATAAAACAAATTATCAAAATCACAAAATATATACACCAGTTAATGGAGTTAGTAACCACATGTCATTTTCTTCAGCATAATATTTTTATTTATTCCCATATTTTCTTAAATTCATCTTCAGATCTTAGAGTTTCAAATGTCTTAATTACACAAAAATTACATTTTTAGAAAAACCAAGAGTTGATGTTTTATTTTGTAGTGAAACTGAATAGGCTACGGACAAAACTGGGTGGGCTTAGCCCACCCAAGTCCCCCCCCTTAGTAGCGCCTATGGGAGTAAGGAACCTATTTTAAACTGATATAGCTCAAATTAAATGTAATTTATTCTAAAATGTTGAGTAAAAAATAAATTCTATTTCTTAATAGGAAAAATAAAACAAAATATTTTAAATTTCTGTGCAAAAACTTATTATGATAACATAACAGCTAAAATTGAAAACACAAGTACAAATCATAGATAATTAAAGCTATCTAAGAAAAATATACAACTTTCAAGGAAAGCCTATTCATTGGGACTAATATACCACAATATTAATTAAAAATTAAAGTTTTGTTTATTTAATTATTTATACATTGTAGTTTATTAAATATACATATACGTTTTGTTGAAATATGACACAAAAGTATTGCAGGCAACCCCTGAAATACAGGTCTGCGCACGCCTATGTTTATAAGTTATTATTAATAACTAATACGTCTTGAATATACACGTTATTACTTGTATACATTAACCGTATATGGACGTCGAAAAATATACCTACATAGTCTATGCAGCTAAACGCTAGTTTTCTTTGTAGGGTTTGTATACGTTTTTATTAAACGTATATAAACACATGGGAGGAAGGTTGTGTCCGAGAAACTTTGATCTCCGTCGAGTATATACTCATATTATATACTTACTTGATGAAAACAAACATTAACGTTTCTATCACGATATTTAAATCCTATAGCAGTAGTGTCATTTCAGTTTTTTCTAGAGTAAGGTAGTCGGCATGCTCTTATTATTTTGCCGACTCAAAGTTATTATTACGTCAACTGCCATACGAATAGTGCAGGAAGGGGTTTGTGCAAAATAAAAAACTTGCACTATAACTGTCTAAAAATGATAAAATTGCCCACTCGATGGCTTATTTTAACAAAGCGCCGGTTAATGTTGGAGGAAGGAACGTCAAACCCGTCTAAAAATATAATGATTTGTACTTTATACGTACATAGGTACCCGTATAACGTACGTCCACACTGTACATGTATGTGCTTACAGAAATGTAATTGACTATTGTTGGTTGTGGCCTTGTGTTTCATTTTTTGTGAATTTTTCTGATTTATATTTCAATGGTTTCATAATAGACGTATTTATATTTTGATGATGTGCCAACTTGGAATAGCTTAACTCTAGACCAGGGATTTTCAAACTTTTATAAACACTGTACCCTTTTTTACCAATAAACTTTTATGTACTCCTTCTTAGTTAGTAAACTAAAATATATATAAAAATTTAAAGACTCACACATAATACAAAATAAAAAATAAAAAGACCACCACAATGGTTATTTTTACTGATTATATGTATAAATAATACGGCTTATGGTGAAGGGGGCATGGCCCATTTCCCTAATAGCTACGACACTACATAGTTTATTAAAAAATGCTGCAATCGACAGTATATACTTTTATAATGATAACTAACAAAAACATCTATTATATTTTATTAAATTAGCTTATTAATTATGACACATGGATGTTTACCACCTTAATTAAATAATAAATTGATAAAATTAAAAGAATAATAATAATGAAATATAATTAGGTATTTTTGTAAAACGAGAATAGTCATATAAAAAGTTTATAACATTGTTGAACGTAGAACAAATCAAACCTAACCCCAAGGGGTACGCGTACCAAAGTTTGAGAACCACTGCTCTAGACTGTGGCAAATGAATGAATTTCCGCCCCCTCTCCAAATGACACACCTTCACTGCAATCACACACCGTGTTCTTTTCGTGTAGGCGGTCCTAGGTCACAGCTAACACTGAGGCTGAAAAATACAAAAATATTTATCAGGTACATATTGTCATTACCCATATGTTGAACATACATACCTATAAATCTTGTAAACCTCAGATATCTTAGAAAAATATTTCTTTTCTGTATAAAGTAATTCTTTAAAGCAGTGAGTCCCAACTTATGATACACAAAAAAAATATTCAATAAAAGTTTCATTATGTTATTATTATTATTAATATTCAATATTATTTAGTAGATCCCTCGTTCATTCAATAATATCAACCATCTCATTAATTTTTTATTTATATTATAAATAATAAAATGAATAACTATACATATTTAATTCAAATTTAGTACATTAAATAATTATATTTTAATAATTATATAGTTTTGATAGTAAAAGTCTCTATAAATGTAAAGTAACGAGTACATTTTATTTTTAAAAAGTAAAAATAAAAAAAATTTAGTGATCAAGTGAAAATTTTGGAAATGTCTAAGTGGTACGCGGAAATAAAAATGTAACCGTTGCTTTAATGAAGTTATTGAACCAAAATCGGAAGGTGTGCAGTACGCGAAAAAGTGTCCTGTGCTATATAAAAAAAAACAGGTGTTGTTAAGATATTTATAAACCATTGGATACACTTTAAATATGTATATGCAAGAAAAACAAGAAATATATACGGGTCTTCTGTGCATTGTTTTTTTTTGCGGTAAGCAAAAAGCGATGAATTAATAATCCTAAAAGTACCCATACGACCCCTTATAAAATCGTAGAAAATTTGTCACTACAATTCAGACGATATAAGACCTTACTTATTCAAATCCCTGGCGAAAAAACATGTTTTTAAAATAAGTTATTCGATACAATTGGAAAAAATGGATGGTGAATTTTAAATGTCTTATAACATTTTTCATAATGTTTTAATTATATCGACTCACTAGCCATCCGCTTAGAAGTCACGGTCCGCCATCGAACTATTGGAATCAACTGCGAGACATCCGATGCTAAAAAATTAAAAAATAAACATTTTATACGGTTCTTATTAGTAAGTCTCGGGTTTGTCAATTAAACAGGATTGATGCATATTACGAATCAAGTACGTGAAACGCAAAAACAATTACCTTGTCTATAGATATTATTCCATCTGTCGTATCAGGGTCTCGACTGATGATAACCGAATGGTCGGAGGAAGGGTATGAGTGGTAACTGGTAATGCAGTTTGATTTTGTCTGGATATTATTTGTTTTTCGATGCAGTTACGACGAGCAGAAAACGGGAAACAACAAACGACGACGATTATAATAATGTGACGAGTACACATTATCAGTGGTGTATACAGAATTTTTTTTTGTGGGGGGTTAACCCCCTAACCCCCCCTGGATACGTCACTGCACATTGTATGCAAATACGTAAATATTTTATAAGGGTACATGTATATCGTATATTGTGTGTACGCATTGTTCCGATGACGTACGGCTGAAAAATATAATAACGGAAGCGCGTGATCGAAAAATAACGTAGTCCAATAAAATGGAACGAATAAAAATCAGCGCTAACCTACACACGCGTGTGACATGTGTACGTATATTATTATGTGCGAAGCATACGAGAAGAAATAAAACGGATAACAATATAACGTATCGCGATGTTGTATACGGATATTATATATGATTGTGTACGTGTGTACACAGTGCGCAGAGGGCGAAAAATACGGACCGACAGAAATACAACCGCGAAAAAATTACGGTTCGCAAGACAGAAAAAGGCGTATAATAAATACAAAAACAATAGACGAGAAGTAGAAAGATGAGAGTGAGAGAAAAATGATAGAATGACGGAGACCGAGAGAGAATGAAGCGTTGACGACAAATCGAAAAAAAAAAAGAAAAGAAATAACATCAAAATCGAGGAAAACCTCTCTCGATCTCGGTCGGGTTGAAAAAACGCAACGCGCAGGCGTCGGTCGGGTGGGAAACCGATCGCGACGACAACACCGCACGGCGGCGTACCGCGGTTATCATCGATGCCGACCTAGTCCGCCGACCAGCTGCTGCGACCGTTGTCGTCCGTTATCAGTTTTATCACGCCTTCGTCGCGTCGCCCGATCGGTTTTTATTCCACTTCATCGAGTTCATTCGCCTTCGACGACATTCACACGCACATCAATACACTCGTACACTCGTACGACTTGTTGAAACGATTTGTTTCTGTTGTTTGTCTCTTTTTTTTTTTCTCGTCGCGACGGACACGCGATCTACCTCCCGTTGCGGAGCACCTATTCCGTGCGATTTTTCTACTCGTATGCGCGCGCGCGTCGATCGGTGTCCTCGTCGCGTGACGCGCGCCAAACGGCAACGGCAGTCCGACACTCCGACAACGACCCGGGCGGGACGGTGGTATGTGCCGACGACGTCCACGGTGATAACGGAGCGGTGCGCGCGCGATACTTCCGTTCGGATTCGCCGACCTCGATCGATATTATGCGCTGCACGCGCCGTCGACGCGATACGTCCGCGGACGACAACAGCCGCACCGCCGACAACAGTTGATCTTGGCCGCCGTGTGTCCACAGCGATCCGAGTAGAACGTCGGTACACTCGCCCACGATGGCGGACAACGATAAACTTGAGCATCAGTGTCTGGTAAGCGACGACAAAGACTGCTACAGCAGCAACATAATTATTTATCATGATATCGCTCGAAACCGACCGCGTCGTGTACGGGTTGTTTTATATTCTCTTTTGTACGATTTGTTTTTTTTTTTTAATTTTCCAGCAAAAAGAATTTGAGTGGGTGCTGAACGAAGAGGTACATTCGATACTGCACCAACTGAACATCATACTCAATGTGAGTACTGACCTATTTCTCAATTTGCGTGCACTGTGTACTTACTGTCAATTTGCTTGTTGTAGGAATGCGTTCGACGTTTTCCGTCCTGGGACAATGATGTCCAAGTGAAACAGGAAAAATTTGTCTTGTCCACGTCACCCGACCAGCTGAAAAGCATTGTGTCCATATCTGGTGACACCATATTGCAGGCGGTAAATACTCTGACTATTCTTTTTCATTATCTGTAATGCTTAAAGCAACTATATTATAATGCAGTTATACTGTTATTCAAGGTAAATGCTCTTTGACTATTCTTTTCCATTAACTGTAGTGCTTAAAACAACTATTTTATAATGCTGTTATACTGTAATTCAAGGTATCCCATTGTACTTACATTTCTTTTCAAGGTCATGGTATTTGGAATATTTCACTGCTATATTGGATTCACCTATCCCCAATAACAGTAAATACTAAATAATGAGAAAAAATAATTTTAAAATTTAGATTCATATTTAACCCAAAACAATAGTTAAACATATCATATTGTTATAGCCTTTTCAATTAATTTTATTGAAAATCTAATAAATATTATTTAAAGATTATCTCAATTTATTAAATTCAAATATTTACTTTGATAGTTTCTTATATGCTCTACAAGATACTTTAAAGATTTAAATGTATAACCATAGTTTAATACAATTAAGTTATATTTTATCAACTCAGTAATAATTATATAAAAAATATTTTTAGGACATTCAGTTTAAAGTACAACGACATCAGCAACAGACAATGTATCGGACAAATATCCGTCATGATTGTCCATGGAAGTTGCATCAAGTTCAAGATGCAGGCAATCACTTGAGACAAGCCATTTTGCAAATTGAAAAAATAGACAAGGAAACTATTTTCAAGTATTATTTTTAATATTTCCTTTCAACCTTTTTTTTAACATATTTACCTTTATTAATATAGTTCCTCTGAAGAAGTATTACATGTACTACGGAATTTATTAGGATGCTTACAGAGAGGCCGTACAAGTCTAATAGTTCCTCGAAAACGAACAATTGATGATTTAATTAAAAGCAGAAACATGGTAAGGGGCCTACTTAATTAAAATATCTGTTATGTAATGAAATTGCTAAGCCAATGGTTACGTTTGTTTCAGAAGTGTTTGACACCCAACTTACCAGAAGATTTAGCAATTAGTTTTTACATTCAAAGTCATAAGCTAATATTTGCTGTTTACCAACTATCCAATTCACATGGTGCCATGAAGTATGATACATATCAAGCTGAATGTACAGTACCATGGTTAAATGAAGTTCTTGTCCTCTTCACAGTCGCTTTACAACTAGCCCAACAACTTAAAGACAAGGTTATTATTAGTTGTATATTCTATTTTGTTTTAAAATAATGAAAAATGTATATATATTTTTTTATTTTAGATCTGTGTATTTACTCAATATAGAGACATAACTCAACTATCAAGACCAGTTTCCAGCATTGCAATACAGTCATGAGTATTTGTTCTTTTTAATTTCAATTATGATTATTTAACTTGATTTAATGATCAAAAAATATATAATCATACATTTATATATTTTTGTCTGTTACCGATTTTCTTCAACTATCTTTTTTAACAATAGTTTATACCTTTTTTTGTTCATGTAGCTTTGTATTTTTTTTAATTAACACTATATACCTAGAATAAAGGACTTATTCAAGAAATTAATTTTTTGTGCTCAGTATTGTTCAGTATTGTTTAATAAATTAATAAATAAAAATTTATTAATATTAATTGTCAAAATTATAATTTATATATATATATTTTGTTTTAATGACACTCATGTAGTAATAATGATAAAATAACTACACAAGTATTTTTTCTTTTAAGTTGATTAAACTGTGTTTAGATCTAAGTTAAATTTAAATGTTATAGGACAATAATTTGATCTGATTATTCTTTTAGATTAATTATAGAATATGCTCATACTTTAATTTTATATAACATAGTGTGTGTTTATAATATGTTATAAACAGGCAAAGTTTTTTCTTTAATATTTAATTTGATGCCAGTTAATAGATTAATATTATTTGATTAAACTTTTTGAATCATATACTTATTCTGGCTGTACTATTACATAATCTTTAAGTTAGTAATTATTAATTATAAGCTGTTAAAAACATTTTGAAAATTATACAACTTGTGTTATTAATAAATGTATAAAATAGTATCTTGGGATTTAATTTTTTTCAACAATGGTCATAGATCTCCGTTCTAGATTAAATGCATTAAATTTAATCTAATATTTTATTTTTACACATTAGCTGTGGGATGACACCTTGAGGCATCATTTATACAATTATTTTCAACTAATCTTTATTTGGTCAACTTTATGTTATAATCTTTTTTTATCGTTAGCATTTTTCAGTGTATATAACTATGTGTGCATGCAATCCATACCTCAAATTTTCTATTATGCCAATAGACGTCTGAAAAATAAAAATATAAATTCAACCAGCATCAAACTATATTATTCAAAATTGAGCTTAGCTAAGGTGTTAATTAAAATTATATATTTTGTACATGTAACATTCATTCAACAACTAAAATCCTATACATAAAAAATTATTTCATAAAGCTTGTATGGAATATAAATAAAGCACCTTATTAATCACAAACTACTATATTTCAACAATAGATTTTAGCAAATATTCTAAATTTTGAAAATGTAAAAATAAAAAAAATAGTCATTTTATATTATAAACAAAATAAAAACCCCTGTATACATAACAAATAATACACAAGTGTTTACAAAACTAATATGACAACAATACTAATTTGATAACCATAGTAATTTAACAGATGTTTCTATTCAGAAAGGTTTGGTCGTAATATACAGTTTTAATTTAAACTGTTTTCAAAAGTTTATTTATATATAATTGATAATTTTTAGTTTAAATAATCAATTATCTAAATTTTGGACTGACTGTACCATACATTTATTAATTTTCCAAATTATTTAATGTAATTGGTTACTTTTGATAAAATAAAAAATAATTTTATAAAAGCATCTCTAGAATTAAATTGATACATTGGAAATAATAAACATAATATAATATTTTATTATTTATCATTATTAAGTTTTAATTTTGAGGAGTAAACATGAATCAATGACAATATTGGATATCCAAATATTTATTTTGAGGGTGCTATATTTAAGATTTTTTTTTAAATAAAAAGTGAGAAATAAGTTTTTATTAGGAATAAAAAATGTATTTAAGCTTGTAGAAAGCTATAATTCTTATATGATATTATTTGTAAGAAAAATGTAACTAATATCTCATAAGATACTTAGAAATAACAAAGTATACCATAATTAATAATCACTAATTAATGTATATTACAACATTCATCTTCGTTTAACGGACATTTTTCTGGATAATTATGATAAAACCAACACTTATGTTTTTTCCATATTTTACCACTATTTTTGACTGGTTTTCTAAATCCAACGCTTCCTTTCTCTACTAGAAATATATACCTATGATTCTTTAACAAGGTTTGTAACCCACCACATTCTTTTTTTAACTTTTTCAATCGTTCTTCACCTACTGTTTTTGCAAGATCGGACAAAGTGATTCGACATTCCCATCCATCCGCACTTTTTATTAAAGCACTAGCTACACAATCAACAACACTACTAACCAAATCTTTATCTAACTTTGTACAGTTTCTAACTCTTTCTTCAGAAGATCTTGGTACAAATAGAACATTTTCACCAAATTTTGATTGCGCAAAGTTTTCAATATCTTGCACCACTTGATTCACTTCTTGTGGCAAATAATTTTTTGACCATCCAATGATACACGTCCGTTTTGTTGATGGTATACGAAGACGATCTATTTTTATGCTAAATTTAAAAACATTTGTGCATGTCTTTTCCAAATATTTCAAGTAATCATGGTATTGACTGAGGGATGAATCTTGGCGTTGATAGCGAGAACCATTAAATTCAAAAGGACAACATGGAAGAAGGAAAAACTTGCAACTATAATTACTTCGTGAAGCAATTACTGGTACCCAAGGTGATAGCTCATCTGAATGATTGCCTATAATCCAATCTACATTTGGAAATTTGCATTCAGGAGATGAAGGATCAATTTTAGACACCTAAATTCAACAATATATGTATATGTGTAATATAAGAAATTGTATGTTGTATTTTATGAGTTATACAATACTTTAAAATGATTACCTCCAATACTGTAGAATGCGGATACTGAGCCCACATTTTTCGAGATCTCACATCCAATCCGATTCCATTATAACCTTCGCTATTCAGTATATGCACAAGTAAACCATTTCCACAGCCCATATCAATAAAATTTTGTTTGGTATTTCCCCACAATAATATCAGATACGTAGCTGTTGCAATATCTTTATGTATATACTTTTTGGGGTCAGTTACTTCTGTCCAAACCTTTAAACATATAGTTATGAAATATATAGTTTCATAAATTATTATAATTATAATTTTAAATAGTATTTATATAGCAACTAACATCCATTAATGATTTAGCATATTTTTCTTTCAACTGACTATACAATTGACAGTACATTTTGACACAAACATGTGATAATGAAGATACAACTGGTTTAAACCCTTTATCATTAACAGCCCATTTGAAAAACTTTGGAAAAAATACATGTGCCAACCAATATAATGTTTTTTGATGGTCTTTGGATTCATTTTCTAGTACAGCAACATGCAATTCCAACAATTGGTCCGTAAATTGAACACTATAAGCATATTTATCCATCCCGTGTCCATTTTTTGGGGAACAATCGTAAAACACAGCAGCATTATTTTTTCTATCTAAAATAATTTATTTTTACATTATTCAATTTTAATAGAATCCTATTAATTAAAAAAAAAAAACATACTTACCAAAAACACTTAGACGTAAATAATCATTCCAATCAACTGGTTTTTTAGTCAACAGTTTCCAGACTTCAACTTGGACATCTTTACCAACATTCAAGCCTAGACGATTATAAGTTTCTTGTGGATTTTCCACCCAACAGACTGGTTGATTAGCTAATAAATCAAAGACATTGTTTGAGTCACCGGCTATTGAACTGGAAACAAGTTGTTCGGCTCCCATTAAGTGTTTGATCAGCAAATGCGGTTTGCTGTTCCACACACCTACAGCGCTCCAAAACTTATCGGCAGTCAAGTCCTCGTTGTGCAGTTGATTCACAGTTTTCCAGGACCACGGCATGATACTAAAAATCTAATTGATATTTGGTATCAAAGTCAGAGCGCGAACAAAATTTCACCATCAATTCATGGGCATCCAAACGAGGTACATTAACAGTTTAACACAATCCAAAATACGACAACATTAAACACCATAATATTTTTATTAAACAATATTATTTGCAATTTTTAAAACGACTAAAAGGAATTATTTTCAAATTCGACCACATTTTAATAAAAATCGTGATAACGATAATGTTATCTCGAGTTATTTAAACGAACCGACAACAGAATTCGTTTCCTTAGGAAAGACGTGATAACATAAACTATAGTAGTTTAGTTATTTTTTCTCTGCACGAAAATCTATGACGAGCTGTTAATTATTTTTCGTACGGTTATATTGTAATTATTGTAACGTTATGCTTCTATTATTAGGTGTATTGGACACTGGAAGAGCGAATTGGAAATTATTTTCGGCCAGGAAAGATAGGCGGATATCAGGGAGGGCTTGGGGGGCTTAGACCCCCAAATATTTTAATAGCCCCCCAAAATCGAAACTGAGAAATTTTATTCGTTGTTTTTATAATTTATTTATAATTATCTGTTCATTTTTTTTGAAAATCGTAAAATAAGAAATAATAAAAAACTATTTACAATAGCATTAACAATACCAGTTACATAGTTTGACTACTTGCGAAAGAAGTTTCAGTGCAATGAAAAAAATAAAAACTTGGTTAAGGACATTGTTGATTCAAGATAGGTTCAGCAATCTTTCAATACTTTATATTGAAAAAGATTTATCGAAAAATATGAAAAGCAATGATATTTTGAGTATCTTTACTAATACAAATAGTTATTTGTCAACATAATGTTAAAATAAAATATTAATTATTTTTAAATATACGTTATTTAGTGTTTTTTAATAAAATTTAAACATATCTATATTTTTAATGGTAATAAGTTTTACTTGTGTATGGGAAGGGGTATGGGGGCGAAGCCCCTGCGGGTTATTTTACATTTAATTATTATAGCCCCCCCCAAAAATTCAACCAAATGTCCGTCTATGCCAGAAAATATGAAACAGACCGGCCCATGAACCGCAAATTAAACTATTTTAACCCTCCCCCCTCCCAAAAAAATGCTTTATTTTGCATCAATTTCAAAATTGATTTAGTTTCACCACTGATTATAAATAGTATATAGTAATATAGTAATCACATATTCACATTAACATATTAATTATTTTAAATACAATATAAATAGGTACTCACATAGATTGTAAATAGCATTTAAATAAATACTATTTGTTATCAATGGTACAAACTATATTGAAAAATAAAGGGAATATGGATTTACCAATTTATTTTGTTTGGCTAATGTGTGTAGTTTTCTCAATGCCCCCTTCGACCACCAAGACCATTGTCGTAGTTTATTTTTGAACGAATTGAAATATTTTGTTACTATTTTTAAGGTATTTAATGTTTGTCTTGGTACAAAATTAATGATTAATACAGCCAACACTCAACAGCCATCGGCTAATGGTTGAATTTGTGAATATTTAATTCGATAACCGTTTACTGCCTTGTGTTTTTTCAAATTGTTTGGTTTAAAATAAATTATATTTAAAAAAAAAAAAATGTCAGGAGATAAATGTGTATATTATTAAACTATTATTCATTACTCGAATTTATAAAGAATGTAAATGGCTGAAAGAAAAATGTGTACAAAAAACTTGTAAATCTACAAAACAACAGCCTAAATTGAGAATACTATAAAACAAATAATTAATTGTAATATATTGTGATACTAAAAAAAAAAAAATGTTTTAAATGTTTTAATATTTATTTAATTATGTTTTCATGATAATATAAGTATATTTCGAAATAGTAAGTAGTTATGACTAGTTATGAGTATGTAGAATATTAATATTTAAATTCAATTTAATATCAGAACTATCAACACACCTTTAATTAAAACTGGTTACAACGTACTATTACGTGTGTACAGTGTGTTACGACAGTGACAAAACAATACGGGTCCTCACTATTTATAACCAATGTCAATACCATTGATTATAAATAGTACTATTTACGTCTCACCGAGGACCGACCGCCGACGTTTAGCAACGATTAAAAATAATATTATTTTATTCCATTATAATTGACAAAATTCTTTATCGCCCTCTATGGGAAAAAGTTTCTTACGCAGCATATTTTGTATTGCAGTGAGCTATCTATACTATTTATAATCAATGGTTTCACCCCTAAATTAGTAAAATCTACAATAACTTTACAATAATTATAGCTATAATAGTTTTGGGTAAGTTACTTGATTAATCAGTTCCAACTTGAACTTGAAGTTTGATCTTAATGCATCTTTAAATATATATTTATTTTTTTAATATTATAATACCTATATTGTGTACCTGAATTTGTAATCTTTTTGGTAGGTAGTCAATAAAATATTTGAAAACAAATTCAAAATGTACCCGTAGCGGCTCGTAGTAAATATTCTGGAGAGACTTAAATTATTTAACATTAACTCCATACAACAACGAACAAGAAAAACACTTTTATTAGAAAATTAATTATACTTAATACTTAATTTAATATTTAGTTAATATTTTTAACTTAATTTAATTGTAATTTTTTTTATAAACTAATTCAATTCTGCAATTTTTTTGATCTGCGAATTCTCAGCAGACGGTGTACAGAACAGCGACTAATGGCGGCGCGATAGCACGGAAATTAGTGTCGGACGTCGGTTTCAATGTGAAACAGCGACCGTCGTCGAAATTACTAAAATAGTATTTCCATCGAAATAACTATTTATAAGTTTTATATTTTGTGGCCTTAAATTTATAATAATAAAGAAAACGCTATATTTTCAATAAAAATAAAAATATTTCTATACATTTTTAAATAGTAATTATTTATAAGTAGTTTTTTTTTCCTAAGGGGAGACGCAATCTCAAAGTCTCCCCTGACGAGCCGCCCCTGGTACCTACATGTATATTGTATACCTACTATGTGTAACAAAATAACATTATTAGATTAATATTAATAGTAATTGTAATCTTATATTTGATAGCCAGCTTTAAGATAATTGTATACTTATGTGGCCCGCCGAGGAAAAAAGATTGGACATCACTGATTTATACTGTTAGTCGCCAAAACTACTTTATTTCCTTTCATCGCTTTTCCGCGCATTTCCTGAGTAACTACGACAATCAGGGCCAGTGAAAACTTTGAGGGTCCCGAGGCTGATTGATTACAGGCCCCTTTACTTGTACTTGTTTGTTCAAGATATATATACTTCAGTACAAAAAAAATATTGTATAAAAGGCTGAGACGACGGGCCCCGAGCCTCTAACCCTCTCTACCCACCCTCTCACCCGCCCTGCCGATAATATATTCAACAATAAAAATGTATAGTAAAAATTAATATGATTGAAAAAGTACCAATACGTTTTCCTTAATTTTGACTAACATTTATACCTTATTAATTATTGACCAAATGGAGCTATTATTTAGCACTTATATTAATAAATTGTGAACTACCATGACGTGTCAAGCAAGCCCATAAACCCATACCGTTCGTTATTGTTTTTCAAGAACGATCCGTCTAACATAGAAACACTTAAAAGAAATTCAAATATAAATATATGTTATCAAAATGTATACATTTTTTTATTCTAAGCAGAGGCGGATTTCCCATTAGGCATTGTAGGCAGCTGCCTAGGGCGGCAAATTTTGTAGTGTTTTATTAAAAAACATCAAACGATCAAACATATAGTACATCGTATATGATATTCAGTATACCAATCTATTTTGGTTCATTATAATTTATAGTCATTACCTATAAATATTATAGTAAACAATTATATAGAAAGCAGTTTTTGATAATACTATATATTTTATTTTATTTTGTAGGTTTTTATTCAAATGCAGTGAACAACCATTGACATTTTTTTCAAAGTAGGCTAAATAACTTCAGGCGAAAAAAATAGTCTAAAAATTAAAATGGATGTCCACTACTATTGTCTATATATTAAATATTTAGAGTAGGTATTTTGGAGGGGTATTGTAACTTTTTCACCTATTATAGGAGCGGCAAATTTTTGGTGCCTATAGCCGTAAAAAAGATAAATCCGCCTCTGATTCTAAGCTAGTAAGACTTAAAAATTGAGACACATTTCAAATGCATCAAACAAATACAAAATATTTTATTCCTGATATTTTTATTTTTCTTATTTTTGACAGTTTAACTTGAAATAATTAATAATTTTTTTCTTAAATGTATCTATTATTCATCTAGATTAATTATGATTATCTTTAAAAAAAATAATTTTAACTGGGCTTATTTTTATCTTAATCTAAATATATTTATGATATAGTATCTTTATCTTTTTCTAGATAAAAAAATATTTATATCGACTTAACATTAATTAGTGTTATTAATCATGAATTAAATATTTGTTAATTAGGTAGGTACTTATTATTATATATTATTATTCAATTGTACACAGATCACATAAACAGTCTTCTTTATCATTTTTTAATGTTATTTCAACTGTACATCAATTGTGCATTTTAAGTGCTCTCCAGATTTTTAGAAATACTTATAAATACAAAAATAGGCTTAATTAATTAATAGTTTTTTATTTTCATTATTTATTTACAACAAATTCAATTTGCATCTTACTTATAAAAACAACAATAAAACTGTCAGCGTATAATTATGCTCATCAACTTAAGTCTAGATTACATGTAGTATTCATTTTGCACATAGTAAATTTGTACATAACAATTATGTGGACAATATATATTTGAGCAAATTCTATTATTAACATGAGCTTTATGTTTGAATTAGTTTACATTAACATTTTACACTAATAATTAAATTACATCGTATACATTACTAAAATGGAATGCATAACTTATTAATAATTAATTAAATACAAACATAGTAAATTATTTATACTTTATACTTTATTATCACAAAGCCAGTTTATAGGCAAAAATTCGGAATGTAAATTTGACAATATTCAAATATTTCTTTGTTTACTTTTTTTTTTCACCGATACAAAAATAATTGAATCAAACAACATAAATTCTTAATCTCTAAGTGATGCAATACCAATACAATATTATACGGTCTTGTAATAATTTAAATCCAAACGAGTTCTAATTTTTCAAATAAAAAATATACCCGTACATTTCAATGAACACATAAATTAATAATTATAATAATAATAGACAAAAAATTAAACGTAAATAATGAGGAAGATTTATAAATGAAAAAGTTATAAATTATTCTTATAAGTGTTTAACTTATTTGTAACATTCATGTCTTCTTCAGCCTTAATCACTATCTCTAAAACTCTACGTTTGATCTCTGCCTGGTAAACTTGAGGCAGAGCCTTGGTCGTTTCAGCCATACTATAAAAAAATAAATCAACAGGGTGTATGCTCTGGTTGGCATGGCTCTGTTGTTGTTGCTGTATGTGGTAATAATGATTCATGTGGTGTTGGTTGAGTTTGTGTTGGGCAGATGAATCAGCCTCTTTAGCAGCAGCGGCAGCTGCAGCTTCAGCTGAACGTTTAACACGTTTAGCAACTCTATGAAGTGGCTCATGTTTGCCGTTACTTAAGATTTCAACATCAGGATATAAAAGCTCATCGTCCACACCACCCTCATCATTTGAAAAACTACCAGGCATCTCTTTCACCTCCACTCGTGGTTCAGGCATTTCATCATAATCATAAGACAAGTTGTTGTAAGGACTAGAAGACCCATCAGTTTTGTAACCATCGTAATTGCCTGGATAGTCTTGGTAGGCATGTTCCAAGTTCAACATTTTTTTGAGAGAATATCTGTTAACAATTAAACAATAAATTATAAATTAGTAAATGATAAATGACTGAAATTGCCATTTTTTTTTTTTATATATATATATAAACATGAGTATTAAATACAGACATCATTATCTGAATTATACTTCAAATAATTATAACTACAGATTGGATATATATTCTCTTAATCCTTAAAATATGATGTTTTATGTCTATAAAAATACAAATAATTTTTTAATATTCTGCAAAAAAAAAAAAAAATTATTATAATTACTTTGTTTAAATTTCTCATTTATTAAATTTTATTATTAATTTGATTTACAATAACACTTTTGAAAAAATTGGTTTTAATGCCAATTTTATCCGTATGTTACAACTAATATCTAGTGATTAATTTATAAAACAACCTAGAAGGATATATAAATAACCCACATTGTCAATATTGTATTTGTTGACCAATAATAACAAAATGTCGATGTACGTAATATGTGCAGAAAAATTGATATGTAATATAGTGATAAATTATTTTCTTCAAAGAAAATATTTACAAAAATAAAACTTTAAAAAATAAAATGTTTATAAAATATTCAAAAATATTTTCTAATGTATTGGTTAGGTTAGGTAACCATTAAAATATGCTTATTTATGCAAAATTAATTTTTTTCTGTGAATTCTGTGTTTCATTAATCGTAAAGATATCTCACTTCCATTTACTACGTAGAATAGAAAAAAAAATGTAAAATCATAAAAATCCGACCTCTAGTTATAATCTATTTTATGTATAACTAGTAGGCAACAAAAACACTTGAAATTAAAAATATAATATTTTTTCGTTTTAAGTAAGAAGAACATAAATGCATCAAGTTAAATTTATATTAAATTTTGAAAGATTTAACAACGTATTTTTAATGTGAAAATTTAGTTAAATGATTCTACGAAAACTAAAAATAAGAAGTTATATGCACATAAAAACAGAGAATAATACTATATTTTAGTATAATACTAGAATACGTGTAACATTTATCAGCTAAAAATATATATATTTATAAGAAATGTACAACTGTTCAATAAAATTTCATAATTCTTTGTATATATTTAAAAAACAATACAATAATGATGAACTGATGGACCAGTGGCGTAACTAGGAAAAAATCTAGGGGGGGGGGGGGCAATATAATATATTTATTATTATTAAAACCCTGACACCCGCCCCCCCCCGCCCTCACCAGTTAAAACATATTTTTATTGTATGTATTTTATACAGTATATCTAATGTTTGATTTCACATAAGTCATTAACTCATTTTGTGGTTTAGATTAACATTAATTGTAGGTAGCAGGTTAGGTACTAGGTATCAATATTGTTAAATAATACCCATAAGAATTCATTAATAAAAGGTGCTATTTGTACTGTTGGATTATCTGGGGGGCAAAATTATATCTTTATCTCTTAAAAAATTGTCAGGAGGGGTACTTGCCCTCTACAATTACGCCACTGTGATGGACTAAGTATTTAATAATTTGATATTTATAAAAAAAAAAAACATCTAACCAAAAATCTCATAAAACAAGGATTGCTATTTTAAAATCAAATTTTATTTAGTTTGAGTTATCAATTTTTAGTCGCTCAAACGACCAAACATTATTTTAAAATATTTAATGTCTGTTTATACATAATAAAAATTACTGACCCTCCGATTTGCATGAATGGCAAAAGAAATTCCATCTCTTTTTGGTACTTCCAAGGTTTACCCTCGACAAAAGGTAAGCCAGGTTTGAGGTTCAATCCTTTGGTGCGTTTGATAGACACTCTAAAATTGTCGCGCAAACGCTTCCAACGCAATTTGACGTCATTTACTGTAAACAAATAAAATACGTAGATTCAGTTATTATTTCGGTATTGAAAGTTTTAAAAAAATGGCAACAATCACAATGTTTAAGACTTATTAACAAACATGCGCACAAATTCTGTACAACCGATAAATCGAATATAAATCTAATTACATTAAATTATTTTACACAATAGTGTATACGATGTATATAGGACGATGATATACTATGACGTGTATGTACTAACCCAGTTGGTTTACTACATAATATAAACGTCAAAGACATAAAAACTACACGTTTTTGCCTGAAAATCACAAAAACATAAGTTAACATAAAATTATACCGAATATAATATACTGCCATGGACAATATCTTCGACATTCAGACTTCTAATTTAAAACAAACAATTATTCTTATTTATTCAAGAGGCTTTGTGATAGCTTCGTTATTTAAGCTCTAATTACTTATATATTTTTGGTGTTCGAATTTAATTGTTTAATTAAAGTTTTGTCATAATTGTAATTGTCGAGCTTAATAGTTTTTACTAGAAGGTCTAATAAAAAAATTAAAAATTTGCCATGAACGCTAAAAATATATTTTTCACACAATTGTTTTAAGTTTTTCCATGTACTAGTTTTTACAATTTACGACCTTACCTGTACTGCATTTTTTAAAAATTAAGAATTAAATATTTTTAAATAAGATACATATGGGCAACCAAAATTACTCCTATTACATTGAATATTATTAAAGGACGAGTCGTTATTGTTACGTACGATCAGTACCATTCACAAACTATACTAAATTATTTTAGAACAACACTTGATTGTTAGAACGATTTAAAGCCAATAACTTATGAAGTACTTTTTGTTATACTCAAAACTAAACAAATTTTATATCATATAATGAAAACCCGTGGTTTGGGAGAATCTGGTCAAACGTTTTCCTAAAGGTGGAATCATACGGCGCGTGGCGCGTCGCGAGTGTTGAGTGGTATAGCATGGAATAGTTGACGGCGCCGTCTGATCGGTATTGCACGGCAAGGTTTGTCTGAACGCCGCGCGGCGCATTGCTTCCCGACAATTGTCGGCAGGCCCGTATTTAGGGGGGGGGGGCACGGGTAGGTACATGATGTACCTAAAAAAAAAAAAAAACATTAAAAAAATGAAAATAATATCTTTTATTATGCTACAATTTGTTTATTAAAAAAAAGGAAATTATATGTCTTATTATGTTATAATTTGTGTAATTTGTTAATTAAAAAAAGTATTAAACGATTTTCATTTATAAGTTATATTTTAATATTAAAGAATCTCGATTATAGACGAAATAATAAGTGTTATATTATTATTATTTAATCTTTGGGCGAGGTATAAATTATATGCCTGGGGGCGCCAAATTTTTAAATACGGGCTTGATTGTCGGTCTTTGTGTCACGCGCCAAAGGAAAATTGTCGCGGCGAGTCGATTAATTGTTTATCAATGTATCTCTTTATCATTTTTCATACTTATAAGTTTGAACTAAATTAATAATATTTGGATTTTTGGATTTTTTATAGTTCATACCTACTTTTTTAGCATATCAACAATCAAAATACTGATCAGTTTCACATAGTTCATACATTTATACCTACACACGACTTAAAATACTAATCATCAATTAATAATCATACAACATAACACGTGCACTGACGCACAGTCACTTCAAATTAACGAAAGAAAATGTAATTTTTACGCGCAGAGATTAGAATAGTGTGCCTATCACAATGGACCGGAGTTGATGGTTCCAGAACGAGACGCGCCTAGAAGAAACTTGTTGAACCATGACGTTCCGTCCAAGGCCGCATCTAGAAAATTTGTTCGGGAGGGATCCAAAACATGTACATTGTAATTTTATCGAATTTAGATTTCAACTTTTGATATTTGGTTAAAAATAAGACAGCAAAAGATTTAATCGTTCTTTTATTAAAATTAATATCATATCATTTTCATACGATATTATGATATAAAATTAAAAGCAGTCAATGATTGATTGGAGTTTAAGTCATTTTTGACTGAGAACATTTATGTTGGTATTAAAAATAAACAAGTATTTTAAACATTCGTAAAATATTGAAGACCTTTCGGAGGGGGGAGGGTGTCCAGGATGTCTGGACCCCCCCAGATACGGCCTTGGTTCCGTCCGATCACACGGGCGCGCCAAGTTGTCGCGGGTCGCGTTGCGCGGTACGTACACGCTCCGCGCCACGCGCCGTGTGATCAAACGCGCGTATATTCACGTGTGTACCGATGAACCACGCAGTCGCTTTCACAAACATAAATTACGTTCGGCAGAGTTTATTGAATCGCGTGACAAAGGTCACAACCGTTTGAAAATTAACGAAAGCGCATCGGTGCACACTGCTAGATCGCGAATAACATGCGTGCGTGAGCGCGTTCGGACCGCACAACTGGTTCGTCCGTGTACCGAGCGAGTTAACGGCTTCGTCGGTCCGGAGACTTGGAACGAGTCCAATAAACCGGCACCGCAGTTGGCGGGGCCACCATTTGGCGAACGTTGACGGGGACGGTTCGGAACGCTCACGCAACGATCGCAGCGCGCCGACGAGAGCGATAAAGAGAGAGGAATAGCTACCGGTTCACCGCGTGGTGAACAAAGGTCGTAAGCGTAAAAACCGATTGAAAATTAATGAGATATTACGACGCCACGTGGGTAACCAGGCTCGGCTCAAAGGGTAGGCGACATGGGCCCACGCCTAGGGTGGCATTTTACATTTTTAAACTATGGATAATTTCTTAAATAAAAAAAAATAAAAAAAATATTACATTTACTAGTACCCACTCGTATCAAATAGTGTGCGGTAAAAAATAAGACTCAAAAAACTGTTTGTTTCATTTAAATTAGTAGTGGATTACTCGACTACAAATGTATTAATCTAATAAACTGTTAACTCTCAGAATGAAGTCTACTTCAATATTGTTTATGTACTAATAATATTCGATGTAGTATTTACATGTAAGGGGCGGCAAAACTTAAGTTTGCTTAGGTGTAAGTAGTCGGGTCTGTGGGTAACGTATGTTTACAAGACATCTCACGACTGGAGGCGCGTAAAAAGTTGAAAAATATATGTTAGGAATCGAATTTATCTGGAAACATTTTTGATCGGCAACCTATTTAGTCGGAAACATATTTTGTTAGAAACAGTTTGAAACGTATTTCCCATGAATTGTATACCCAATTCCGGAAATCCAATTTATCAGAAAACGTATTTTCTATGAGTTGCACTGTATATACATACCAGGGATGGCAAATCCATGGCACGCGAAAATTTTTACTATTATATATTATAGAATCTATAATATAATGTAGTATAAATTAACAAAGCAATATTATTATAATTATTATTATTATTTATTATATATTATTATTATTATGTACCTAAACTAACCTTTTTATCCTAATACATTAATTATACAATAAAATTATATTTTTAATAATTTTTCATGACACGCTCTATATACAAAAAAAAAGGTAATTTTGGGCACGCAGTGTTCAAGATTTGCCATCCCTGGTATATACATTCCAAATATGATAAATTTTGAGTGTGAAATCCACAATAACAACGGATTACAACAAACGACGGCTAATTTAATACAAGCAAACACAAATTAGAACACTAATGACTCATAGGTAACATTTTAGGGGAGAGCATAAAATATTGTTCAAAATGTAAGTCGCACAAATTTAATTAAACATTAACCATGGTAATATTTATTAAATTGTAAATCATTTTTCTGGGAGGGAACGAGTTTCCTGTTCTGCCTTCTTTCCAATGAGAGCACATAAGCATAAACGAGTAACAACATTTATTTATAATCATTTAAGTTTCAAAAAACTTTTTTTTCCGAACAAATACTATTCCGATAATAAAAGTCCCAAAGAAATATTTTTCCGCCCAAATACATAACACAATTAATTCATTTCCGAAAAAATACTATTCCAACAATATTATTAATAATAGTATAATATTTTAATACACAGAATACTTTCGAATGAAATATTTTCTCATGTAAATCCTGTTTCACCAGAATAATTCCCGATTGAATATTTTTCCAAGTCCATACGGTTCTTGAAAAATACTTTTCGAAGAAATATTTTTCCAACTAAATGCGATTCCCAATCGATATAGATCCGAGAATATACGTTCCGAACAAAATATAGTCCCCCCTCACACACACAATTCAACCTACACGATCGTTGTATAAGCGGTACACTGATTGCAATAATTGATGTTTGTTTCTTTACGTACTACAATCTTGAACGGTCACCGAGAGTGTTCAAAATATGGCCTTTTGAAAACCCGTTTTCGATTTGGAGAAAAGAAAAAACACTGACTGTTCTCTTTATGTTTTTTTTTTTTTTTAAATAAGAGTTAAGATGTAATAATATAGTAATTAAAAGCTTTTAATAAAAAAAAAAGACCGAAAACCTGTGTACCCGCGAGTTTACAATATCGACAATATTTACATTACGATCGTAATTAGTCATACGAAAATCGTTGAAATCGTCCCTCCTCTTACCGCACCGCTGCGTGGATACGGCAGACGGTTCCCATACAATTCAAGGGCGAGTCAGCGAAAAATTATAATACAGACATACATTTCCATATACCGCGTCAGACACTATAATAATAACAATGTCAACAACTGAACGTTCAATCGGATAAGAACAGGTTCAATGTAAAAAAAAAAAAAACATTTCTAGACTTGCTGTAACAATCGCACAGTTTAAGAACAAAAATTTAATGGAACTATAATTTTTTTTGGATTTTATTATTGTCACATCTAGTGTTGTTTACCTCCGAAAAGTCTGGGTTCATGTACTCTCACGTGTAACGACATTGGCGAAGGATTCGTTTGATAATTAGCAAATGTTTGGTTAAAAGTTTTTATACGGCGTATATAAAAAAATATTTTTTTCGAAATTACATACTGGGATCTGTAAATTGATTACTTACATAAGTAAACGTTTTAATGTTATAATGATAACATGATTAGTTAATTTGTTAAGCCAATAAGTGTAATGTTCAATAAAACAATCTAATCCGCCAATTTATCGCAACGTTAATCGATTTTTATTCACAGACATAAAATATCAGTGGATCGCTATTTTCGTCGAAATCACACGAACTTCATTACGTTTCTTTTCGTTCCAATTGTGAGTCGTAACACGTTTGGGTATATATTAATATAATTTGGAATTGTGTAGTGCTTGTCGTATAAGTTTATTTGGATTCACGTTTCAAAAGTGACGTGACCGTTTGTTTATTGATGGTTTCTTCAGCATCATGATTATGTTCTCCGTTTATTAAAATCACTGTATTTAAATCGCTAGTTATTTTCACAGTGACAATGTGCATACGATTTGTGCGACGTAAAATTAGTTGCATATTTTTCTTTCAATTCACTAAATTTATAATTGTTAATCACGGCGCATTTTTTCTCACGTCGGGTATCAAAAACATCGGAAATGTCCACCGTCCATGTATAATATAATACCATTATTATCAATTAGAAAACCAAATAAGAACTGTACTGAACGTTGAAATATTTATCGTTTCACAAACCATATCCTACAAAGATAGTGAATCGTGTCTGTATTATAGCGATACATGAATAGCGTGTGTACCCAAATATGTTCTAAATGTTTAGGTAAAAATAATGCCATGTACCAAAATTTGGACATTTTAAATTTTGACAAATTTGCACATTTAATGTGCAGCGCCCATTGTGTTACCAGCGTTCCATTCGCCATTTAACGAATTAAGTTTAAAATAAACCGTAATTATAAACTTAATAGGTTTTAATTATAATCAGTCGAATCTCATCAATTGTCAAACAATTGTTACACGTTGGTTACCTACGTAAATTAGTGTTGGCAGAGCGAAATATTACGAAACGACGTGAAACACGTGCAGCCTAGTCATAATTTGTCCCTGCAGTACGTATCCTGTACCGTATTTAATAATAAATTCGTTATTCGTTATCTAACCCAAATTCACTATTCGGTTTATCCAAACGCAGCCGAAAACAGACAACAACCATATAAGTGTACAACATTCCGCAGCGTTTTCCGTCCGTATATTTCGCGTTCACGTTAACTCACGACCTGCCTCAACTCCACGTGTTGAATGGTCTGCTACGGACAATACGAATCTGGGAAAAAACGGAACACACGCACCGCAAAACACTACCTCGATAATCAGTAACGTATTTTCAAATTTTTTATGAGGGGGGGGTTAACATTTTTCTAAAAAGTAAATGAATGTATAATATTATAAAAATACATAAATGGTTAATAACTATATTAATAGACAAATATTGTAATAAAAAAATGACAACCACATGATCCAAATATTAATGCTTTCTTTTTCTACGCCTTCGTAGCAAGTCATTTATGACTTAAGAACCTTTTTTCTCGTGGGGTTAGAGACCCGGGAACCTCCCTCCTTCCGAAAATACGCCACTGTCGACAACGACAGTAATAATGTGTTTTACTTCACGGACGATATCGCGTCACGAGACTCAGGTAGAAACTATTCCGGGGCGGACCGGTACGGGGGTTGCTGGACAACTTTCTCGTTCGGTGCGTGTGTTGGCAGGGTTCACAATGATAGGGCGACCAATCGATGCGTGTAAAATGCGAACCGGTTAACGACGGTACGGGTGTGGTACACGTCGAAGAGAACCGATGGAAGAGTTAGCGGTCGGGAAACGTGACGTGGGTCGAACAGCCGTACCGGTTCGGGGACTCGCGTCTCGGTGACGGAGCACGAACACGGCCGGGCGACCGTAATTTCCGGAAAAAACGTTTCCGTGCTGAGGTGGCGGAGGAGAGAAGAGGGGACGACGAAGACAATGGAGCGTCGTCGTGCGGCGCGCGGAGAAATTAGCAGCGTGGACGGAGTCGCGTTCCGGCACGGAAACGACGTTGCCGACGCGTATCACTGACGACGCGGCAACCGGTGGTGGAGTTTTCACCCTTCGCGCGGACGCGCGACGAGACGCACCGCTCGCCGTATACGCGGAACGCGCGACGCACGTTATAAGATTGGCGACACTGCGGGCGAACGAGCGCGCCCGTCCGCCGTCGTGCGGGCGTAATAATACGTGCGCGGCGGCGGTCATCAAACCGCTCGGCCCATCCGGTTTCGTCGTGGTATTTGATTTTTTTTTCTTCTCTCCCGTTCCCCTCCCCCGGCGACGACCGCGGCCACCACAGCGCCGCGCCGCGGTATCGCTCGGCTGACGCCGACGTTCGCGCACGAACACGCCGAACAAAGGAGACTCGCTCGACGGCAGCGCGCACCGAAAATCCCGTTCGCGTTTCGCTACACGTTTCCACGCGCAGAGGTACGAACCGCGGCGACCGTGACGGTCGACTAGCCGCGCGGTGGGGGTATTATTGTTATTGCTTTTTCGCTCGACCACGCTCGTATTACAAAACAACCCCTGCAACATGTGTGTCTCACCGGCACCACCACCACCACCACCAACACCACCGCCACTACAACTACCACTACCACCTCACACCGGTTCGCGAGCCTCTCGTACGTTAATTTTTTTTTTTCTTTGCGCCAGAGAAATTTCTCACGTTTTACCTATGGGAAAAACCTTATGCCTACCCAACAACCCCCCCCCCTTCCCCAACCCCCACCCGTTGCGCACACGTTATCGACAGGGAAGAGAAGCGCGCGCGATCACACGTGAATTACACAATCATCAATTAACCGTTCGTTATCACCATCGTCATATTTACCGGGCATGCCGAGTTCGTCGGCCACTTCTTTCCAAGCTTTGTCCCTCTTGTCGATGTACTTGTACTGATCCTCGTCCGTGTCGTACAGCACCTGGTGCTGTTTGATCTTGTTGATCATCACCAGGTCCATGTTGGTCTCGTTGGCGATGGCCATCGCGGCGGCCATGACGGACGCCGTCGACGAAGGTGGTGATGATGACGCCGTGGTGCCGACGTTCGACGCTACTGGGGCGGCCACGGCGACGGTGGCGGTGGTGGTGTCCGCCGGCAGCGCGATAACGCTACGGTAACTGGTGCGGTTTCGGGACGGCTGGTGGCTTCGGCGTCTTCTCGGTTGCGCGCTCGGCGTGCTGGCTGGCGACGGCATGGATGACAACTGGTGGCCGTGGCGGCGGCGCGGCGACCGCGACGAAGGGCTGCCGCCGCCGCCGCCGCCGCCGCCGTCACGGCGTCACGGAGCGTTCGGTTCGACGGCAGCTGCACGGGAACGGGGCCGGGGGGAGGGGAAGCGGCGGCGTTTCGGTCGGTCGGCCGCCATGTTGCTGCGGTGTGTGCGTGCGTGCCGCTGCCGCGCCGGCGGCGGACCGTCGCGCCGAGTGCGTGCGTGCGTGCGCGAGCCGCAGCGACACCAGCAGACGAGACGCTTGCCCTTGGACACAGCCGCCGGCCGCGTCGCCCGACTGTGCTGTGCAGTGGCTGCTGCTGCTGCGTACGTTGTTATAGGACCGCCGTACGTGCGCGCGAACCGCTCGTCTGTTTCTGTAATAGTATACGGACACGGCGGGCGCGTATATATATATATATTATTATGTTACGCGAAGATAGAATATCGTGTACAGCACGGAACACGCGGCCCGCCCGCCCGCTGTCGTGCTAACCAGTTCGCCCGACCCTCCTCGCCCGTCGCCTGCACCCGGCGCGACCGACCCACACGCCGCGCGATTAACCGTGCGCCCGCGCCCGGCCGTTCGTAACACTACGCTGTTGTAGATGTTTTTGTTTCTGTTTTTTTTTTTTTTTCCCCAACCTTTCCCGTCCACGCAGCACGCCCGGTGTTTCGTGTTCCTCCCGGTACGTCCCCGATAATAGTTCGGAAAAGCGCGACGCGGTTGGTGACGTTCACCACGCGCCGTCGCCGCGTCACGTACGGCCGACCGCGCATGGCCATACCGTACGGTTAGGTCGATCGACGTGATTTCGTGCGACGTGGTTATTATTGTTTGTTGCACTATAATCGGCGAAATCGGTTTTCGGCGGTCGACCCGGTTCCCGTGACGACCTTCTTCCTACGCTATGCACTCCCGCGAGTCCGCCGTCGATAAAACCTACCCGATCGACGTTTTACAACGCACCTCTTTCCCCTTCGCCCGACGACGTCCCGTACCGGATACCGAGAGGTGCGCGTGAGGTTCGACGAACGTTTCGCCCGACGGGGTAGTTTTAACGGACCTAATGTTTCGGATAGTGTGTCAACTATAAGAAACAACATTCCTTTAGCGCTCTCGCGATCCCATACAGTCGAGTGGTGTTCGGCCGGTAATATCTATACGTTTGTGAACGAAAATAAAAACTTTTAATAACATTTTTTTCAAACTTAATTTCATATCAAAGACACGGTAGGTTTTTGTTTATTCGAAGATCGACTTTTGAAAGACTCAAATGTTAACCGTTTTCTATTGATAACAAATATTAATCGAACAAATATTTAAATAGTAAAATGTACGAATTCCATATATTTATTATATATATTTATTTGTCCTTAACAAGTTGATTTTTCTCACGAATGATAAAATATTTATAATGGTAAAACCTAGTTTAAATGTATCGTAAGTAGATTATGACTGACTTTAATTTTGACCTATTTATGAGGGTCGTGGCACTAAAAAGGTTAAGAAGTAATGAACATGCCACAACTACCCTCAAGTCGACTGTTGTCAATTATATATATGTGTATACAAATTTGTATTGAATGTGTTTCAAATTCTTTTTAAAATGGGCAAAAAACATTTTGCTAAGAAATTAGTAATTTTATATTATACAAAATATATATAATAATACATATACAAGTAATATATTTTTATACAATCATTACAATTACATAACATAAATTGATGTCCTTTTTCTCTGTACCTTCGTCGCAAGTCATATATGACTTTCGATCCTTTTTCTTTTCTTCTAGGAGTGGTTGAGATATGAGAATACACCCTCCCCTGAAAATACGTCACTGTTTATATATGTTATATTTTTGGGTAGATTATTTCCATTTTTTACCATGCACCATAGTAGTATATACTCCTGTTATGGCTTGTTTAACGTGTGAATTAATTTACATACCTTCGATTAACTGAAACGATGTGAAATATTATATCACCATTGTCGTATACGTATATTAGACTAAATATTTATAAATAACGAAATTCTTGGTTAGGAGTTGTAACTTATACCATTGATTATATATTATATACTATTATATACTATTTATATTACTAGTAACATATAATCAATGCTTATATTGATAATTTCCAACAATACAGAAAATGAATGAAAAGTCAACATAGGCTATTACCATCCCACAAAATCACTGCGGCGCTAATCACATGGACTATTCTGATATCGAGGTGACGAGGTATAATAAATAATAATTTCATCCCCTACCACAGCACAACAAGAAAACTCGTAGATGGCTGGGCGTGATTATTTTGTTTGTATATATACCGATTGATCGTTAATGTGAAACATTGTCGTCGCACGAATCGCCTGGTATAATTAGTATTTTATTAATGAGGCGATTAGTATTTTCTCAAAACAATTTTGAACGATAATTCCATATTTCTTATGGTGACGTGTTTGCGGCTCTGTTGAATATTACGCCGAATGATTTACGATTACGTATTATTGCGTATTGTCCATTGGGATTTCTAAAGAAAATTGAAAATGTTAAGACCACTATAGTGATTTAGATTAGTTTGTCGGGCGTAAAATATAATTCTTCAGGGTAGTCAAAAGTCACTACTAATTATAAACAATAACAATTTTTATTTAGATACCAAATAAACCGCCCATAAACATGTGCTTCAACGCAAGTGTGTAACGTGTGTATAATATGTATACCATGTATCCAATTACGCCACATAACTGATTTTATTGTATTTGCATTTTTTTTTTTTTTTTTTGATTCTGAATGTAACGAAGAATGTATTGGATTTATCATAATTTTTTTAATTTACTTCTTTTTTTATTTCGTGTATCTGTGTACACGAGTTCGATCAGAAAGGATTGTCATCACAATAATAGTTTCTTATTAAAGAAATTATCTTGCAGTGCGTTTTACAAAATTCCCATTAGCATTTTTAATGATTGCAAAAAGTTGATAAAAATTAAAAAAACAAAACGGCACACTGGTTTTCGACAAAATCAATTTTTTTTTTCGTCGCAACTCAAAACATAATAATCGTAGAGACTTGAGATATACATTGAATACTTATTCCATTCCTTATAAAATTTAAAATTTTCAAAAGATCAAGAATTTTCTCAAACCTAAACATTTATAAATGTTATGTTTTCATAGTATTTTGGTAAAATGTCAATAAAATTATTTTAGGTTGACAAAAATATTGAATATATAATACAACGTTTCGCATACATATATCTTACTAACTAAAGAAAATAATAAAATTAGTGTTATTTCAAAAATGAATTGATTGAACCTAAGATAGACAAAAATTACGAAATTCCATAAAATCCATAGAATTTTTAATTTTAATATTTAAAACGATATAAGTACTCGTATAATTGATTATAAACATCAAAATTAAAACTTACTATAGTAATAAAATGGGTTAATTATGCATTTATATTTGTTGACAAGTAAAGAGGGGGTTGGTTGGCTGAAGTGGTGTTTCCATAGGGTATACTACATATACACTATATCCTTTTAATATAATTTGGAAAATTTACAGGTATAATACGTTCAAGTTTTAAGCACTTCGCGGAGAAAAAATAAATGTAATTAATTTTACAGATTTTCATTTTGGCTTTGTTTTGTAATAGATATTCAGTTTTCCTTAAACGATTAGTGTCTTACTATGAATTAATTATTGACGGTACAAAATTATTACAATATTATTTTTGATGGTATATTATACTCGTATACTTACAATGTATCGATTTATTTGAATTTTCTAATTTAATGTCTATTTATTTAAAAAATAGAAATATATACATTTTACATTTTGTTAATATTTACAGCTCTTTACTACCACCATTGTTTAAATTATAAAAATGTCCATAAACAGATATTTGTCGGCTTAGCATACTCTAAATAACATTGATAGGAACATCACTGGTTGGCTATGATATCGATGCATGTTCGTTTATGGGTGGAAATTCAGAGGTTTTCTGACTGGCTACTGCGCGGAATATAATGGAGGGAGACTTTTTGATTTCTTTGTGTTACAACTAGTTTTTTGTATGCAGGACGTATTTTGTAGATTGCTGTACACCTCTGTGAGTTCCAGCACAGGCTTTATTATATTTTTTTATACTTCCAATGCGTCATAAGTTATGTTATTTAAATTTTGATAGAATAAGTTAATTGGTTTTGGTGAATAGTTTCTCATATATTCCAGTGAACAATTATTTAATATTGAATAAAAATATTTAAATTTATTTTATTGTACAATGGGTTGAATTTTGGTCTAGGGCCTTTATGTCCGAGTTTAGGCCGATGAAATTTTATGGGTGACATATTTTGCACTGAGTCAAAAAAAAAGATTTATTTTCGTGTCAGGGGTTGAAGTTAGGATTTCATGTATATTAATGAGGACCTATTATAGTGGTATTTATGCTAAGGACAGCCTTTTATTGTAAGAACGAAAATATATAAAAAAAAATTAATTTTTAACCCACTTTTTACTATATAACGAATTAAATGATTAAACACAAGTTAATTACTATTTAAATAAATTCTATTTCGATCACAGAGACGTTCTTAGGATTTATTATTGGGTGGAGGGATATAAATATTTATTAAAAGGTAAACCGTGGGAGCAAAGCCCCCACACCCACTTTTTTATATAAAAACAACATACATTAAATAAAAATTAAAAAAATATTATATAGTTAATTAAAACATTAAATTTACAAAATAATATCGTTTTAATGTCGTTTCTTAATTTTTGAGCCATCATATCAAGAACTTCTTTGGCATCAATTGGGATACCTCTATAAACGGCCAACAATATTAAGCCGTCAAGACGATTCTATGAATAACATCAAATTATGAAAAATATGAAGTTATAATATTAATTTTTTAATTTTTGAAAAAAAAAATAGTATACTTGAATTGCGTCGTTTCATTTTGATCAAAAATAAAAATATAAGTCAGTCGTCAGTCGTGACT